GAGGATCGCAAATGCTTTGCCTTTAGTCTTCTTTCTATTAACTTTAGAGAAGCTATGAAGAGATACCAGTGGAAGGTTTTGCCTCAAGGAATGGCCAATAGCCCCACGCTTTGTCAGAAGTTTGTAGCTGCAACTCTTCAAAATACCAGAAATACTTGGCCATCCATGTATATAATCCATTATATGGATGATATTTTAATAGCAGGTGCAACAGGGGAAGCGGTATTACAATGTTATGCTCAATTAAAATCTGATTTATTGGATGCAGGTTTACAAATTGCCGCTGAAAAAGTACAGACACAGGGTACAAACTCAAGATCCCTACTCTTATTTAGGTTTTCAGATTAATGAGCAAAAAATAACTAATCAAAAGGCTATCCTTAGACTTGATAAACTACAAACCTTAAATGATTTCCAAAAACTATTAGGCAATATTAATTGGTTACATCCTTATTTAAAGTTGACCACTGGGGACTTAAAGCCCCTCTTTGACATCCTTAAAGGGGATGCAAATCCAACCTCACCCAGAACACTTACTGAGGAGGCCAGAGTCACTATATATAGAGTTGAGGAAGCAATTGCTAACCAGTTTGTTACCAATATAGATTATTGCAAGCCCTTATGGCTCATGATTTTTAATACTCAACTATCGCCTACGGGTCTTCTTTGGCAGGAGCCTGATCATCCTATTATGTGGACACATTTACCTGCCTCCCCAAAAAGGGTATTGCTTCCATATTATGATGCAGTGGCTGACTTAATGATTATTGGTTGGGACCACAGTCGTAAATATTTCAGTATGGAACCTCTTCATATTGTACAGCCTTATACCAAAGATCACATCAGTTGGCTACTTCAGAACTCAGAGACTTGGCTAATAGCTTGTGCTAATTTTCAGGGGGTTTTAGATAATCATTACCTGCCTAACAAGCTTATTCAATTTTGTAATCTGCATACCTTCATTTTTCCATGCATTACTAGCCATCAGCCTTTACCTACTGCCCTGTTGGTCTTTACGGTTGGTTCCTCCAATGGAATGGCAGCCTATACTTGGAACAATCGGGTTGTGCAGTTTCAAACTAACAAAACCTCTGCACAACTGGTGGAACTGTCTGCCATCATATCAGTTTTCTCTAAGTTCCCTGATACACCCCTTAATATATACACTGACAGTGCATATATCGTCATGCTGTACCTCTTTTGGAAACTGTTCCTATAATTGGGCATATTTCTGAGGTTGCAGATCTTTTTCATCATTGCCAGCACCTCATCTGCCAGAGGACAGCCCCTTTCTTTTTAGGACACATTCAAGCACACTCTAGTCTTCCGGGGCCTTTAACAGCCGGCAATCAGGTCGCTGATGCAGCCACCAAACTTATTGCTATCGCTACTCCTTCTAACATTGCTCAAGCTCAACAGGCTCATGAGTTACATCATCTTAATGTGGCTTCCTTACGATTGATGTTCAAACTCACCAGAGAACAAGCTAGACAAATAGTTAAAGAGTGTAAGACTTGTGTCACTTTTCTTTCTGTTCCCCATCTAGGAGTCAATCCTAGAGGACTTGTCCCTAACATGCTTTAGCAAATGGATGTATCTCATTACTATGATTTTTGGCAAATTTAAATATATTCATGTTTGCATTGATACTTTCAGTGGACTTCTCTGCACTTCATTACAAACAGGGGAAGCTACTAAACATGTTATTGCTCACTTGCTCCACTGCTTCTCTACTATGGGTACCGCGAAACATATTAAAACAGATAATGGTCCCGGATATGTATCTCAAGCTTTTTGAAATTTCTGCCACACCTTGCAGATAAAACATACAACCGGAATACCTTACAACACACAGGGCCAGGGCATGGTTGGAAGAGCTCATCTACTTATAAAAAATACACTAAATAAAGTGAAAAGGGGGGAATGGTAACCCATCAGAGAATCCCCCAGGAATTTATTAAACCATATACTCTTTATTTAAAAATTTTTAAATTTAGACGCTCATGGTAAGTCGGCTGCAGATCGCTTCTGGCATGCGGAATCTAAGAGATGCTATGCCATGGTTAAATGGAAGGACCCCGTGGATAATTCATGGCATGGCCCAGACCCAGTATTAATATGGGGAAGAGGATCTGTCTGCATTTATTCACAGCAACATGATGCAGCCCGCTGGTTGCCTGAACGCTTAGTAAAGCAAATAGATACTAATCAATGTTCCAGGGAAGATGAGGCTCCCTGAGAAATGGGTTTTTCTTCTTTCTGTTTTCTTTCAGACCGCAATGGCTTCTGCCTGCTACATCCTGTTCCTCCTGATTGGCTCTGTTTGGTCGCAGATGGTGACGCAGTGGGAATTCCAAGTTAAAGAAGGAAAAGCATATTCTGATGATCACATGCAGATCATCGGCACT